GTTTACGTATTGTTTCATGAGAGACATGCAATTTCAGGGCCATTTCACGAGGATGTTGCCTTGGGTTAGACTCAACAAGCGTCTTCAAAGCATCAATATCAGTTCCAACATGTTGGCTCCTGCCATCAGTCTTTAAGGCTAAATTTACCTGAATGAAATTTGCTGAATCATCGTTGACACTTAAGAACGTTCAAAACATTTCCATAAACATCTTTGATATTCTTTGTGGCTACAGAGGCGTTGTTTCCCTTCTTGTATTCAAATAGCATTATATACCAAATGTGCCATCACTATAATGGATTAAACTAAACTTTACACATTATACAGGCTACACTAACATGACGTTTAGGTGGTTCATTTAACTATTATACGTGATGTACATTATTTGGGGGGGTGGTAAATGAAAGTGGTCCAAAATGAGACATTAATTTCTTGATGACCTAATACATGAACACAATATTTAAAAATAAAAGCATTATGAGTTTCCTTTAGTCACATTTGCTGTTGTTTAATAGCTCAAAGATTTTATGCTGCTGTAGGTAGGAAACTACATAATTTTAACAGTTTTGTACCAATTCTACTTTAAACTCTCAAGTGTCCATAAACATATGTTCAAGAACTACCTACTATTCTTTATTATACACTTATTACTATAATAACTTTAAAATAGCATACACATCAGCCCAACTAAAGTGAATCTAGATAACCATGTTTCCTTGAGATAACAGAAACTTCTGAGATGAAACAAAACTATCTAACACAATCAAAAAGTACATAATTTCAAATACTTCAACTGGTTAGCAATTATTATCATGCATTTCACATTATATCAGAATAAAAGAAGTTTTTAACATGTAGTTAGTGTCATTTTGTTTCTTAGTAAAACATCTGTGAACCAAGAACATGCATCATCAATATTATGATGTCATTTTAACATGTAGTCAGTGTGAATTTTCTTTGCTAAAATACCATTATGCTTTGGAAATCATCTGATGAGTAAAACTTTATGTATTAAACTGTGCATCAAAATAGGCATAATATTTTTGTTTGAACAAGTAGCACTATATGTTTTTCTTTGTGATACATCATACAAATGTATACGTACAAATATTAAATACCAGTAAATGTAATACTACAAGAAAAACTTAGTCCAAGCTGTTTTAAATTTTGAAAAAATATTGTAGCATTTTATTTCTGGAAACTTCTGATGCACAACACTCATATATCACATATCAGTAAAGCTGACTTTAAAGGATAATCCTGAGCATAAAATGCATATACCACTAGCTCGACAGCATGTAAGTAAAGTATTCTAAGCTACTTATATCTGATGATAATTCAAATATAAGTACTATAGTGTGAAATACTAAACATAATGATAACATTGAAGTCTATGTGATTATCAACGACAGGAGTTCTTAATGAAAATCTGTAGATGGAAAAGTTTAATGTGTTTTTAAGCTTTGTATGTAACCATAGATACATGCAATGAATGTACAAAAATAGCATGACATCACTCAACCTCACAACATCAATGGCCTTAACAATGTAATGAAAACCTGTAGATGGAAAAGTTTAATGTGTCTTTAAGCTTTGTATAAAAATAGCAGCATGACATCACTAAAAACCTCAATGACCATAACCGTGAGATAAGAATATATTAGTAATACTTAAACAATGTGGAATGTTTTTAAAATGCACACTAGAGTGTAAGACTTACAAGTAATACAGGGAAAGTAACCTGTCAGTTCATCATATGCCATGTTTAAAATAACAATACTGTTACTTGAAGTCTAACAAGTCTAATAAATGATCTATTTTTGTTTAACTATCATCCTGTTATTCTTTACCTATCATTAAGTATTGATGTAAATCCAAAAATATTACTGAATTTAGAGAGAAATGTAAAGGAAATAAGGGTTTAATAGTTACAATGGTAATGTTGAAAAAAGATAATGTGTAGAATTTATGAATTATGAAAGTTGTCATCTAGAAATTGTACTATTGGTCACATTTAACAATCTTAAACTCTCCATTTAACACAAAACTCACAAACAAAAATCATCTGCCAATATAACTCTGACCTATTTCTACATACATGTAAGCTCATAATATCAAAATTCCTATTCTTCAGTACTGCAAACTCCTTGCAAGGTCATGTTCTATCCTCTTTACAAAAGAACTGTAACAGTGAAGAAATGTTACCTTGCAGATATACTGGAGTGGCAATTACTGTTATGTCTATGGTTAAAGAAACTACTCTAATTACAAAGATCCAAACAACCTACTAGCTTTGAGATCCATAAAGAAAAACCTACTTGGTGTACAATAAATGTACCCTTATAAAGGACAATAATGATTTATTTCATTTTTCTTAATAACATATTGTATGCAGATTTCTTTTATATTTTGTTTAGGATATTTGCTAGACACATCTAAGCTGTGAAACACTTCAATTTCCTAATTTTTTAACATTAAAGGATCTCCTTTCCTCATACTATAAAAGAAAATAATATTCTGAGACAGGCAAAGTTTGTGATGTGCAAGTCAATAAGAAACAATGACCTGGTATTTTAAGGATTGGTACATTGCAAATTTTTGAGTTTCAAATTATGTCAAATCTATTTATTTATTTAAGCATTTCATGCAAATCTACACAAGAGCTACTTGCACTAGCTGCCCCTCATTTTTACTTTATATACTGGAGAGAAGGCATCTACTCAACAGCACCCACTACCAATTCTTGGGCTACACTAGTCAATGTGCGAGATTTGACAGTTAATCTAATAATTCAACCACAACCCCAAGTTGCGACATTTTGACTTTGTGGCAAGGGGTCACAAACCATAAATCCCCAGATTCACAATCCAGGCAGACTGAGTAACAGGTCATGCCTAAGAATTACTAATATATTAGTTTCAAAGCAATAAGACATCTGTAAACAATAATATTATGGAATTGAAGATTATAAATAAATTTCCTGTGGTTGAAAAATTTAGTTGTTTAAATATACAAGTATCCATATTTAGCACTTAGTATTTTGGAGTTCTTCAGAATCAAGTAAAAATTTAAAGTATCACTTATAAAATTATAATTCAAGAAAGTGGAATAAAGTGAAACCTTCCAAAGCATTTTTGACTACTATAAGTATTGTTAATAGTGGCTGCTTCAGCATGTTTTACAAAACTATATGGAGAAAAAACAAACATCTCTTAACACAAAAAATATACCTTTAACATTGTGTTGGGCCCAGACACAAACCCTCCAGATGCAGAAGATTGTTTTTTCTATTGTTCTACCATCCCATAAACTATGTTGTTCACTTCATGCATTAAATCTGACCACACCCCCAAACTCTCTATTGAGGACTGTCTATCTTACATTTTTCATTCTTTTTGCTATTAAAGCAGCACAATATGGGTTTCCCACACATGTACTGGGATGCATTAAATCTGACCACACCCCCAAACTCTCTATTGAGGACTGTCTATCTTACATTTTTCATTCTTTTTGCTATTAAACAGCACATATGGGTTTCCCACACCATGTACTGGGATGCATTAAATCTGACCACACCTCCAAACTCTCTATTGAGGACTGTATCTTACATTTTTCATTCTTTTTGCTATTAAAGCAGCACATATGGGTTTCCCACACTATGTACTGGGATGCATTAAATCTGACCACACCCCCAAACTCTCTATTGAGGACTGTCTATCTTATATTTTTCATTCTTTTTGCTCTTAAAGTAGCACATATGGGTTTCCCACACTATGTACTGGGATGCATTAAATCTGACCACA